AGTTCTTTTGTCAAATATGCAAAGGACTTATTTTGTCTTTTGAGACAGTCCTCTGTGAGTTCCATGGCTCTGTTCAGCCGGAGCCAGTAATCGAAAGGTGTTTCACCTAAGTTAGGTAATGTTGCATAAAAATCAGCCAAAGGCATGCTTGAACAGGCAGTGTCACTGAAGTGCTGTTTTAAGATCTCAAAAATAGGTTCTGGGCCTACCTTAAGACATAAGGATGGATTACTTCGTATGCCCACCCTGATTACCTCTTTTGCCCTCCCTGCCAGTTTACTGAGCACTTCATCAGCTTGTTCAGCTACCTGTATCCCTTTTTTCTTCAAATAGGTCATCATCATTTCTTCCCATTCCCGAACACTGCAGGTGTCACAACCATCCCCTCTAAAACACACAGGTTCCTTAACATCAGATTTCACAATCACATTCAAAAGTGAAGGTTCAGAGAGCACATTACTGGCAGACCCAAGAACGCTGTTCCCCAGTCCACATCCCAAGCGAGACTCAATACAAGAGGCAATACTTTCTCCAATAGAAACCCAATTTGCGTTGCTATCTCTGCATAAAGGCTTTCTTTAGTAGGTCTGGTATCTGATTCAGAATGATTGGAATCATCACAGTCACCATCAACAGGTTTATCATTCAGCTCAGCAAAGGTGGGCCTCGGTGTGGATGAGACTGGGGCTGCCAGCAAACCTGCTCTACCCTACCGAGCGACTGAAGCGGGGTAAAACTAACTGTCCCCCTCCCTCTGCCAAAACCAGGAAAGTCTGTCATGATTCAGATCAGTTCTTTTTTTTTTTTTTTGTAAACAACCAGATGTGCAGAATCCCACCTCAGTGTTCCAATAGAAAACAGAAAATGGTGGAAAGAAGGGAAATTCCACGGGGTTTCCCACCGTCCATGTGGTGACTCCAACGACTGCCCAGGAAATAGACAGCACCGCTGCAGATACAGGATTGCAGAAGCTCGGGTCACGGCACCAATGTAACCGGGTTCTGCTTCACACCACTGTACCAGGCCGACCCAAGTAACCCCTCGACTCTGCGTTGTGTAGATGTTTTAATGAAGACCAGGAGTTCTGGGTGAACAGGCAGTTTATTTCCTGAATGAGAACAGATCGGGTTGGAATCAATGCAATGGTTCAGCTTCCCTCAGCACACTCTCGTGCAGCTTCCATAGACATGCACTGATTACAGTACATTAATATTTTAACATTCAATAAAAAATACAATAATAAATGATGTACCTGAATGAGAACAGATCGGGTTGGAATCAATGCAATGGTTCAGCTTCCCTCAGCACACTACAACAGAGCGTCATGTTGACTTTAACTTAGCACAGAAAGTGTTTTACAAAATATTAACAAAACTAAAAGTGCAAAATTGATGCCAGACACACAAATCATAAATAGTAGTTGCACACTATGATGTAAGTTATTAAGAATGATACTTTATGTGTTTCTAACACTTTTCAGTGCTGTGTGCTGAGGAATGAAACTCACCTCTCGTGCAGCTTCCATAGACTGGCACTGATTACAGAGGCCAGCAACATATAACCAGCCACACAGAGAGGAGGCGCTATTTCCCATTGCACTGATAATATATAAAGCAAGTGGGATTCTACAACATAAACTCTGTTACATATGCAGCTAAGACAGATGGTGATTTATCCACCAAGTTTCTCTGTTTTACATTTCTGTCTATTTGCAATTGAAACAATAAAAAGCCTCTTAATGTTCAGTTTCAAACATAAGAGATTATAATTTTCCACAACATTTTAACAGAATGATTTTATAGATGATTAAAAAAAATAAATCTCCATTTACGATAGACGCCCTACTTTGAGACAGAGTGAAACACTTTTATACAGTCAAAAATAATGTTTCATGAGTTAATTGGACGGCATAAAATGTACAATGAGAATAAAAATTTTGCAGATATCATTTGATGTTTAATAAAATAAAGAAGTTTCACAGTTGATGAACATTAAACTGCAACATTTTAAGCTTAGATGGAGGAAATCAATGTGAACCGGGACTTAACCGTGGGGCAGGGGTCCTCAAGTCCAGTCCTCAGAGCCTTCCTGCTTCTTTCAGATGCATCCTTGCTCCAACACACCTGAATCAAATAATTGCTGGTTGCCAGGCCTGTTCAGAGGTGATCCCGGTCTTTTGGAGTGAGGAGGCATTTAAAAGTTGCAGGACTGCAGCTCTCGAGGACTGGACTCTACCCCCGCCCTACGGATAGGGTTTGTAGTTTGCTTTCCAATTACCCACTCCAGATACATTTTTTTTTGTGATGTTCCTTTGGTAAACGTATTAGTTTCTTGTTTTCTGTGTTTTAAAAGAAACATCTTAACTCAAATAATAAAGTGCTGTTGCATGTTCTCAGAACCAGACTTTAAAGTAAAGGAGTATTTGCTTTCACTGCTTGCAGTGGAGCAACTTATTCTTCAACATTACTCAAGACACTTGAATCACTCCTTCATTTTCATTCTTTGATATTTATGGATGCCCTGACATTTATCTACATGTCCTGTTTTATTTTACTGTGTTTTTTTTTTACAATGTGTTTGACTTACTAGTGGTTTATGATGGTTTATGTCTCCTGTCCTTTTCAGAGGTAAATAAGACTTTATTCTGTGCTGTTGAGATGAGCAAACGTATTCATATAAGTTGTCATTTACACTAAACTGAAAACCTGAACACAATTAAATGATGAACTAATACACTGAAAAATTGATGATTGGATCAACCAACATTTAAGGATTAGATTTAGAACATCAAACAATTCTGAGAAAATGTTTCTTTTTTTACACTCGCTGGAGAAGAAAAAGAAAAAGAAGTGCTGATCTATTCAGTGCTTACATTATTACGGAAAACAATCGACAACACATAAATGATAATCAAATAATCACATCCATCATGGTTCAGACTTGCTTTACAACTCACCTTCTTCCATTTTCCAGTTTCCATTTTCCATTCGGAAAAATTATCTTACTATATTACCTCAGCATTATGAGAGGCGCCACTAAGTGGATAGATGCTTATTAGCCAATATCTCTGGAAATAAAGGGTGACTGGCTTTATTGAAGAGAAATAAACTGATCAACATCAAATTAAACCAACCTGACAGATGAATGGAGTTCAACAACAACTAGACAATAGCAAAGAAACACAGAGATAAAGTAATATTTACAATTGGTTTGTTGAAAAGATTACTGGAACAAAAATCAAACTATATGTCTATAATCTACTGATTATAGACATATAGTTTATGTAGTATACTATATAGTATATATTGATTATGTATTACATTATACGTTACATATATATATATATATATATATATATTATATATATATATATATATATATATATATATATATATATATATATATATATATATATATATATATATATATATATATATATATATATATATATATAAATAATCAGCAGATTATATACATATTGATTACTATTGATTTGACTCATCAGGAGGGATTTCCTCTGTATGCAGCTGTCCAAATCTGCTTGATGTTACAATGCAAGTTATTTAAACTGTTTCATTAAAATCCTGCTGCTGTCTACAGTATTTTATTTTTTCTGTCTCTGTTATTTGTTGGGTCAGAATCAACAAACTGACTGTCCTTTACCTGCATTCAGATATCAGCAGACATATTTTTACTTTAACATTTCAATCCCTCTGATTAGAAGCATGTTGTCTAATCAGAGGGAATGCCCAGCTTTCCTTGTCTCCTCAACAACAATACGATTAGGGGTTGTTTTTTGCAAAAAGCTAAAATGTATAAAGAATACGATTTAATTATGTGTTTCCAGTGAGCCGTTGTAAAAAGTTAGCTTGTTTAGTTCATTTAAAAAACAACAAAAAAACAGTCATTTTGTAATACAGTAACATTTTAAAACCTCTGGGCCTACAAGATCAATTCATTATTATCCTGGATCTACTATAATTACAGATACAACTGCTCTGTTAACTATTAATTTCTCTGAATGGGACAAGCGTGTTCATCACAGTTTTAGAGAACGATACGTTTTCTTCACACATTTTCCCCAAAAGTGAAAGATAAAAAATGAGAGAGATCGATAATAACGGCAATCAAAGTAGTTAAATATGATGTAATACAGCATAATAAATATAACAGTATTTGTTTCTGAGTTGTGATGCTTTGTTGATATCTGGTGGCAGTACAGTGATAAGGCAAGGCTCTACAATGTGACCACAAGACTCTTCATCCATGGTTTCTCCTGCTGGAGTTACTACAACCAGTCAGTCTGCATGACAGTGAACTTCCTTAATTTAATTTAATTAATTTAAGTTCATTTGATGGGACAGATGCACATCGACCTATACTAACTGAACAGAGCATCAGTCCCATGTTTGCATAAAGTGCTTATAGCAACAGTTAATTCACAGCCCTTGAATCTAGATGGGCTTTTTAAACGGTCCATCTAAAGACTGTACACTAAAGACTAGTAAAACATGTACAAACGGTACATCTAAAGACTAGTACATCTAAAGACTAGTAAAACATGAAGTAATAATCATTTAAAAAGCACAACATGATGTTGACAACATATACAGAATCCTGCATATAAAAACAGCAAAACATAACATTAAGTAAGGATGCAGTTTTGATTGAGTGTTGTTTTGTTGAGTTCATGAGCAAATTAAATTTATTTAATGCAAAACTTTACTTTTATTGCAGAGGATAAATTCAGAGAAAACCACACTTAAATCAGAACTTAACCTGACTTTGGAAACAACTGTCTTCTTCTAGGTCAATGAAAGATGACGGATTATTTTAAAAATGTGAAACATTAATAGCGTAGAAAACAACAACCTCCATGTTTCAAAATCAAATATGTAAGAAAAAAATAATTTAGTGTTTAAGAAAGAGAAACAAAAAAAGCATGAAAATGAATAATGTTTTATTCACATATAACAAAAGATACAAATCATTCACTAAACATATATTTACAATGTCACAAGGGGACAAACTGATTACTTGGATCTGTTGATTCTATAAATTGTTTATAAGACAAGAAGAAATTAGAAGAAACAACAGAAGTGAGAACTTATAGGAGCAGAACTGTGTATTTTCCAGGCACATATTTCCATTTTATATCACAATAACTAGTCAAATAACTATGTTATCTTCAATTGTTAAAATGTTATCAATATAAATATGACTTCAAAGAAAAATTGACTTTGCAATTTAATGCCTTGTAATTGGACCTCTGTTTCTCTGGAAACTGCTTCTACTTCTGAAACTCCACCTTTAGGAAGTGATCACAACATGGCTCCTCTATTTATCTATTTATCAACGTTTTTCAAAGTGTGTTTAACAGTGTTTTACTGAGAAGCAATTTGTATAAAGAGCTCAGCTGATACTCATTATTAGGTGTTTGCTAATTACTACTAGCTAGTCTGAAGGAGCCGAGTGGGGGACTGAGAGGGAAAGGCTTCTCTGTGAGGTGGAAACTTGGAAACTTGACGGCGGCGCTCCATGCAACCAAGAGCTGAATGGTTGTCATGGATATTAATCAAGGCTCTAGGCATGTTTTGATGAAGGAAAGACATTATAACATGATGTAAGGTTCAGAAAAGTCCATTTTGCATAATGCTGCCCCTTTTAAATTTTTGTTTTGTTAAAATGGAACATTTTTCAACTGATTTGTTCACAGGTAATTGTGAGCTAAATAAATTTGAATTTAGTTAATTTGATAGATCCGTTCTAAGGCGAACCATGATTTAGTCCTTTCTGACAAACAAGTGGTGAAACACAGTGGCTCGCCGATATTTTGTCTTTTTTAATGCATTTCCACCAAAGTAATAAGGTAACCCTAAAAGAAAAAGTAAACCAAAGAAAATGAATTGATTCAGAATGACTGTCATGTCAATAATGACAATCCAGATAATTACAAATACAAAAAGTAACAAAGCTAACAAAGACAAACAAAAATTGTTGTGATTTTTATCACAGTCTGAAGTGATTTTCCTCGTATCGTCGTTTTCACTCTTGTCATCGTCTCTCAGTTTTTTCTGCTCTTCGTCTCCATCTGTTCCTTCATCTTCCTCTTCAGTATCTGAATTATATTACAATATTGTGACCCAATATAAATGCTTGTATAGTCTGTTTGCATCTCACTTTTCTTTCTGTAAAACAGAAGATGGGCACTTTGGGATCTGGTGAATAAAGAACGCAAATTCCAGTTTTGATGAACGGTAAATATAAACAGAAGAAGAAAATGAAGGACAATTACTTACCTCTCAAACTTTTTCTGGAACATCTGGTTACTAACCTGTTATTAAAAGGAACAATATTAAACTTCTGCTGTGCTACAACAAGGTGAAGTATTGATTGTCAAAGTGAAAACGACCCACAGCTGCAGGATAATTATCTCACCAGTGTCACACTGGAGTCACTGAACTCATACCAGTTTTCTTCATCCTCAGGCTTGATTGTTGCTGTGTAATGGCCTCCGCTCAGAGTCCCAAAGTGATCCACCAACCCATACAGCTCATATGTCTGGTTCTGATCCACAAAACACACACATTAATCTGGAATCTGAAAAGAAAATGAGCAACAATCACAATAATCTGAAATATACCTCTGGTAAGTCGATGGTGTGACAAACATCCACAGCACGATTGTCTTTACTGTATGACATGCACTGATAGTTGTATTCAAACCTCTTCAGCAGCAAAATCAAAATCTCTGGATGATGCTTTAGTTCATATTTCTACATGAAACACAGAGTTATTAATACAGTTAAAAACTGATATTTATGTTAACTGTATATAAAGACACACAACCTCTTTTTTACTGCCTGTTATTAAATCAAACTAAGACTTTTCTGTTCCAGGTCTGCAGAGATCATCAACATTTATTTACTTATTTTTCATTTTGGGCATGCATCATATTGTGGGAGGATCTGTTGCACTTTACAAAGCTGATAGCATCATGAGGAGAGAACATACAGTGGAAATATTTAAGTAACATATATAATGTTGCTTAAAAATGTAGATATGTTGTTTAAGAAATCGACCTGGTAGTTATAGCTTTAGTACAGGGTGGTCTTCCAAAATGGACAATGACCCTAATTATACTGCCCAATTAATTAGGGATAACAAAGTCAGTATCTTTGAGAGGCCATCACAAACCCTTGAGCAAGGCAGCCTGCTAAAAACCTGATTTAAAAGAACAGTTCTGTGAGGAGGAATGGGTCAAACATTTGACCCAGGTTATGACGTTTTTAAAGACAACGCTACCAAACTCTAATAAATATATGGGAACTTCAGAATTTGACAAATATTTTAGTTTCTCTTTCATTATTTGGGTGTTTAGCTAATAGCTAAACATTCTTAATACATTTTAAAATGCCGTCAAAATATCTGTTTTGTTTTTAACCAAAACAAGTTTCCCTTTACTTACAACAGTAGTGTCACGATTGTCTTCACATTTATCACAGTACAGCTGGTCTTCTCCATAAAACCGTACATCCTTTAAAAACTCCCGAATTGCGTCTTCCTGGAAACACATTTTCTGTTACTGCACAAACCTTCACCAGGTTCTTTCCAGCATTCTGCCAACACAGCAGATTGCTTATTACTACTAAGTAATAATCAGAAATTGTTGATTATTCCAGATGACTTTTATGAGCAGAGTTTTGTTTGTTTTATAAAATGGTTTCCATTATGCAGGTTGTTTCTTACCACACTGTAGTTTTCCGTCACTAGAATCCATCAGTGGGAGAGAAAGAAACCAAAAAGGCACCAAGTCTTCAGTGTCTGAGTCACATTGATCACAAACAGTCCTGTGAACCAGCTCTCCTCTGAATATCTGAAAATATAATTTAATTTAAAATCAAACACTTTTAATTTTTTATTGACACTCTCTTCAATCTGACTTTCATGAATATTTTACCTGTGACGCTTCATCGCTGACCAGAGATAAAATCTTCTCCAGGTACTGACCAACATCCTGCTGTTCATACACTGAGAATGAAGAAAGAATGAGACATAAAATTATATGTTTTTATGTTTACATTTAATGCTTAAGCTCATATTTTATGTTCATCCATGTTTCTTCTGAAGCTCGTCTAGATTTATGTTGACGCTAATGCATTCACACATCCTCATTATGAAGGAAAGTGTCCTCCATTATTTAGAAACAAGCTAACAGTTTATAAATGTCTCTGATTACGTACCTTTTTCAATTTCCAGCATCTTTGTAACTTCTGTGGTTTCTGATGTTTTTTCTTTTAAACTCTCAAACAAAGTATGGAGTCGAACATTGATGTTGTCTTCTTGGTGTTTTGAACAACTATTTATAGGATATTGTCAGAGATACAGAATATATAAAAAAATAAAACAGCAAATATTTTCCCTACACAAAACACGCTATATGATTTATTCACTAACCTCTTAACAGCCTCTCTGAACTCTCTGGTCATGAACAGAACCTGCAGAATGCTGTTCAGGTAACATGTTGCTCCTTGGTTTCTCAACCCATGGTACTTAATGTCTGTGGGATGTTTTGTTATGGAACAATGCACAAAATTAATAAAAGACATGCAAACAAATAATTATTAGCAGCATGGAAGCCTTACCTTCCTTCATACTGAATCACTAATGACGGCACAGATAGGACTTTTCTTCACGCCATTGTAGAAACGATTTCTGCTGCTGAGCCACCGTGGAAATACACAGACAGTAAGAGGCACTCCCATGAGAGAGAGTCAGAAAACAGCTTTCGCTTTCACTTAGCGACTAAAACATTTCATCAAGCTGACTAACACTAGTAATGTCAATAATGCTCACAGATATAAATACTGTATCAACCTGACAGCTGCAGGTTTTGGGGATGTTACTTCTTCAGAGCAATGAGTGAACAAATCTGTAAAAATAACACTGACATCCACTGTTAACAGAACTGTGGTAAACATTTGCAGCCTTTTTCTATGAAAATACTGTTTCAAATAAATTAAATTGAATTAGAATTTAAATACCTGCAAAATCTCAAACTTGAATGCACTTTAAAAACAGAAATTACAGAGATTGATGGCAAATGACTTAAGGAGATCGACATCCTAACATATTTTCCAAGAGGAAAATATGTAACCAAAAATAAATAAATGAAAAACAATTCCTGCTGCTTCCAGGAAGAAATGCCAAATGGCAAACTTTGGGGAATTTTGGTGTCACTTGTAAAAATGACACTGGTTTCACGTTTCCAACAAACAAAGAAAATGAAACAAAAACTGAGTGAGGATCTGGAAAGCACCTAATAAATACGTGGCTCATGATTTTTATTTTCTATCAGCTTCCTACTAAAAGAAATGCGGAAGGTTTAGTATAACTCTTAGGAGAGTTTGCTGCTAATGTATAAAGCTTGGAATATGGAACATAGGCCACTTATTCACCGCTTTCTTACGTCAGCTCAAAAATATTTTATTAATCCCAAAAGGTAATAAAATGTTATTACTCATTTTAACTCAGAGTTCTTTAAAGAGTTATTGTAGATGGTGAGAGTTTAATTTAACGATCGTTCAACATACAAATCAATTCAATAAATTAGAATACTACAGAAAAGTCCATTTGCTTCATGAACTTTATCACAGATTAGATAGAGTAATGACATAAGTCATTTGACATGTTGGGTTTTAGCTTTCTGACCCACATGCAGAAACCACACGTCTCTTAGAAAATAGTGAGTATTTATTTTTTCAACAGGACACACAATATATCAATCCGCAGAACTTCAGTGAGGGGGTGAGAATGACTCGACCAGGTGGGCCTGAAATGAGAAGCGGTTTAGACGGCTGGGAGTGAACGGATAGATTTGAGAGGGAAGTGGAACGGGCTTACTTCACGGTGGTTTGCTGTAGCGTGGGGGAGGTGCCAGGATTCTGAGTGGAGGGTAGTTCGGCGGTCCGAAGGTGAGTGCGAGGAGGGGGGTGTTCGGAGAACCGGAGGCTTGCAGGAGTGAAGCTGCGGCGGGGAGAGCAACGGAGCAGGCAGGCTGGTGCTCGCAGGAGAACTCACGAGCGGAGAGACAAAAACCCTAGAAGCGGCAAAAATACAAAGGTCAGGTAACTTCTGGTAAGCTCAAACACTATTCTTAAGCAACATGCAACGACAGGAGACGACCAGAGTGACTACCGATGAACGTAATCATCTAGCACTGAAGGAAGGATCTGCCGCTCCTAAATCCCCCGCACGCTCTGATGAGGCAGATGACTTCCACCTGTGCAGACTCCTCCGGCTCCTCACCAAGATCCTCTCTGGACGAGATGTGACACTCGCACTCACACACATGCACTCACACAGAAACCCTGACATCATTACTCTCAATCATTATTTCTGTTATGTAATTTTCCACTTACAGCGAATAAAAACATGACATTTAAAATCAGAGAAAATCATTAAAGTTTGCTGTTTGCAAAAAGTACTTTTAATCCGACAAAATGTGCTTCATCTGAAAGCATTTTCTAGTTTATTGATTATGACTAAATAACAGAAGAGCCAATCAATAACATGACAGCAACTCAATACTTTCGTCATCTGGGTGCAGCAAAGATGAACTGATGAAGCTCAAAGTCGGCATCACAATGAGGAAGAGTTTATGATTTGATAGCTTCTTAGAGCCAGACTGACTGGAATGAGTGTTTCAGAAACTACTACGATTGTCACGCACATTTTCCTCTCTGTTTAGAGAGAATGTCCAAAATAAAAGAAAACTGAGGTCATGTGGATAAAATGAAACACCGTCTGAAGAGAATGCACTCACTAGAGTTAGAGTTAGATTGACTAAAGTAAAGGCAACCGCATCTCTTAGCTGTTTAGAATTGTATTTGAAATGTAATATGTAACAATCTATTGTTTATTCTATGTTTCATACATCATAAAAAGTATTTATGATGTAAAGCACTTTGAAATGCCTTGCTGCTGAAATGTGCTATACAAATAAAATTTGATTTGATTTTAGCAAATTTCTGTAATCAATAATGAAGAAGTTCTGGGTGAAAAGCTCTGCCAGGCAAAGACAACACCAGTTTTATACCAAGGTAAGGAGTCCAAAACATGGGAGAGTCCGGTTCCCTTGCAGCTGCAGCAAAACAATTCCCAATCTTGTGTGTTTAGCCTAAACAGGTTCTTTTAGTGAAAGTTCACAAGCATTTAATATGGCATTATCAGCAGATGTTAACTTGTGGTAATTTTCCACCACAGAGGGCACAGAAAGTCTTTGAATATTACAGAATTGCATGATGTAAATATAATTTTTAAAAAAGCATCAAACAACACAAAATAGTGACATTCAATGTGATAATCCTTCACACATCAATAGGTGTTCAAGTTGTTGTTCCAGGGAAACTGAAAGTCTCATTACTTTAATAATGATCATGAAAAGATCTATCTGCAAGCTATTTTATAATGAGCAGAGCACAAATATAATTGGAATTGTCATAATTGCTGCTTGTTGATTTGAAATATAATTAATGAGAAGCAAAGAAGAAGCAGGTTACATAATTCACATCATTTCCTCTGCCACACAGGTATAGACGTCTGTCTGGGAACAATGTCAGTGGAGCACACGCCGTAAACATTGTTGCTTCCTGTGGTCCTGCATTCACTAGTTGTCTTTAGGCAGCCAAAACAAAACGTCATCTTACATCGGGGACATGAAATGTCCTTGCATCCTTTCCCAGTGTGCTGCAGCAGTGAGCCGCAGGTGGGACAGGCACGAACCGACGGACACCCTTTGACTCCCTTCACAGTGTTGATTTGGACTTCTGGACACTCTCTCAGCGTCTTCAGGGCAGAATTGTGGCAGTCGTCGTTTTCGCAGCGGTCGGATCGAGGCTGTGGACCTTTCCACTCCCTCAGACACTGCCAGCAGAACCCAAAGCTGCGTCCCGTCTTCGCTGAGCAACCTGAGCAGCAGACATAGAGGTTCAAGCTGCTCCCTCTGGTCACAAGAGTCATGCAGCCTGGACACTGTTTGGGGATAAGAGAGAGGAAACAGGGATTTGAGTCAGAGTCAAGTCTGTGTGCAGTTATAATTACACCATCAATAAGATACTTACAAACTTTCTGTTAGGATCTGTGAGGGCAGCATTCTGGGCCAAGGTCGTCTCAAAGGTCTTCATTTCTTCAGGGGTCAACATGGCCATTTTACAAACCTCCTGATAAGACCACTCAGCATTACAGCCAGACTGACCGCATTCAAACCTGGGTTTTCCCTGTATTTAAATAATCACAGAAATTATCAGGACCAAAGGTAAAGAAAAAAAAACACTTACATGTTCAACAATTAGGTTCCTCACTTCCTTTTAACCAGTAGTTAATATTCTGTTAAAAATGCAAAGTCAACACAGAAAATACACTGATGTATTAAGATGCTCTTTAACTCTAAATTTCACAGTTGAAAATTTGAAAGTCAACTTCAAAAAGAGTCACAGCGAATCTGTCGAAGGTAAATAAACTAAAAGCAGCAGAAACAGCAAACATCCATGTAGTTTAATTCAATTAAAAAGAATAAAAGACAGAATAAAATATTTTACATTTCACATTTGAAAGCAAAAATGATGCAGTGAAATTACAGACATTATCCTGAACATGTGAGTTTGTGGTGAATTAAAAGATTTGTGCAGCTTTTGTTTATGATGACTCTGTGTTTCTGTACATTGAGTATCTACAACTCAAATAAACATGTTTTGAAAGAGAGGAAAGATACAGTTTCTTCAATAAGATTTTCATATTTATGAAAAATTAGATTTTAAATGAATTTAAGGACAAGAAAACTAGATAAAAAAAAGAAGCAGAAAATACATGTGAAATACCTCATTACTTTTCATCTGAATCAGAATAAAACTAGTTCTAGTTCTTTTTCTATTTTGAATAAGATTATATTTGAATCATATCCCACCTGTTTGAGCAATTGTTGGCACCACTTGGTGAGGGACGTCGGGTCACTACATGGCCGCAGGACATCCGGGCTCTTGGGGAATCAAACCCTTCACACAGAACTGCAGAAGCATCCAGTGAGATCCTCCAGCATGTTTAAATACTGACTATACAAACTATACATGCTTTTAAACAAGACAACAAATGCAATGAAAACTTGTCGCTGCAGCGCTGATGAACTGAAACGAGCCACTTACAGTCAAACTGATCCTCTTCATCCACTAGTGGGATTGTAGAGTCTCTCGGGTTGTAGCGCTTAGTTTTATCGTTCATCTTGAAAAGTCTCCTGGTTTCTGCTGCGATATTAAAAACAGTCAACTTTACATTGTATTTAGTCGAATAGAAGAAACTTTCGATTTCAAGTCACGAGTCACGTGACTTTCGCTTTTTGCAACTGATCGCTGCAGAAACGCCTACAGGAAAAGACGAACTGATGGATGGATGGATGGGATGGATGGATGGATGGATGGATGGATGGATGGATGGATGGATGGATGGATGGATGGATGGATGGATGGATGGATGGATGGATGGAATTAAATGAACGTCAGTGAAAAATCTCGATCACATGAAGAATAAATATTATGTTTTATTGTTTGCACCTTAACTTCATAAAAACTAACTGGTGTGAATAATTTGCAGTTTATTAAGAAGAATGAATAATCAGACTAATATCCTTTATTGTCCTTTCAGGAGGACATTTATGTGCAACAGCAGCAAAGTGAAAAACAAACAAATTAACTAAATTCACACACAGATCGTAATATTTGGTACTTTATTTATTTTTTAGCACCAAACATGTAGACAAAGTAATTATTCAAATTAAGTAATTTACAGTTATTTTCTCTCACCACTTTTTATTTTGCATGTGACGCAATATTTATGTTTTCAACGAAACTGAATTGATAAAAGTTTTACTTACAACAGACGATGGTGACAAAAAAAAAAATAACAAAACCTCAGCAATTATTCATTTAAGAGAATAAGAGTTTTATATTGGTGACGTTTCCATTAAACAGGAGGACAGTGGATGCAGTGGAATCAGGTGTTCATTGTGGAGTGGATCAGAGTGGAGGGTCGTGGATGATCAGCTCCAGTCCTCCGTTACAGCGCATCACTGCGTGGATCTCAGATTTGTGCTTGATCCCACAGTCAGCCAACATTTCTGTCTCCTGCAGAGTTTTTCCTTTGTAGATCAGAGACATCATCGTTGCGACCGCTGCAAATGTAAAATGCAATAAATCATCTTAAAGACCGACACTTTGCGCAAAACAAAAGCGAAAACGCAGTAAGACGATGTCCAAAACAAACAAGAGTGGATTTTGGTTTCTAAGAGAAAAGCATCCCCAACATCTTAAATTAGTTCAAACTGTTCAGAACAAATAGCTGCGCATCTAAAGTCTCACATAAATATTTGTGGATTTTAAAACTGAAAATTGGCTTTTTAAATTACATGTCATTTTTTATATGCTCTTTGTCTCAATGCATCTGAAATGAGAATATCTCAGCAGGTTTATTTACCTACGTCACGGCGCAGCTGATGTATGACGTCGATCAGAAACTTCACAGCAATGTGTTTAAGCTCCTCTTCGCGTTGACACACGCCGATCGGTTTCTTTAAGTTCTGCTCAAAACAAACGAAGACCTGGACCTTGCAAGCCATGGCTTCTTCTTGTGACGACTTTAAACTCTGCTCCGGATTTAAAGCTGCAATGTGAAGAGACTGAACAGGTGGGAGGACTTTATATAACAGAATTTGCTTTCATTTTTTATTAAAAGGCGTGGCTTGAAAACCCCCCAAAACAAAACAAAACAAAAACCACCCACTATTCAAAAAGTGGATTTTAATAGGGTTTGACAGAAAATCATATGGTAATTTCTAATTCTTTGGTTAGAGGGATAAGCTTATATGGTAATGTAATCAGTGATTACAAAATGTTACATGCTATGGACATGAACTGTGCCTACCTTTGACCAGTTTAATAATAATAATAATAATAATAATAATAATAATAATAATATTACATACATCTCATAATGTCAAATAAAATTCTAAATAAATAGATAAATAGAGAAGGTTACAAAAGTCATGTCAAGGGTTCAATATGTAACTGAATTAATCTGGACCTAAATTTACACAACAATATAAATAATATTTATCATGTGAAAGCATGAAAGTATCACCAGTGTTGATATACTGATATACTCAAAACCGTAGGAACAAACTCTTAAAAGTTTTCTTTCTATCAGAGATGATAATATAAAATATCAAGTTCCTTCTTTAAAACTTTACTTAATTCAGGCTTGGGGTTTTGGGAGAGAGCCAGCAGCTAACGAGAAAATACGATTCTTCCAGATAATCCTGCCAACATTTCAGGAAATAAGAGCTGGATTAATAAAAATAAAATGAATTTAATTGTTCCTCTTAAACAGGATTTCCCCTAAAAGTTCCCAAGTTAATTGTTAAGATCACCTGGTGGTAAATGACCTGAAATAACTTCCTGGTACTTTCCAGATTCACCAAAACCCAACCTGTCAGAGTGTCGGTCTGGTTTATTATAAACATGTAGAATCTGTGATGTAACTTTTACTTTCACTCTGCAACATTTCCAACATCCATTAATATACAAGATCAACCTTTTTGAAGAAGCCTCCAAGTCATCAGACATGATCATTAATGGTTTAGTCCAAGTAAATAATTCTGTACTTTTCTGTTTGTTAAATCAGTTTAATGAATGCAGATTATTGAATATTCCTCATCTGTCAGCACAAACAAACAGAGTAACTCTAAAACAATAAACAGTTTTAGTCATACAGCGCCTGTTAACCATTTATTAACACTATTGTACATGTGATGATGTTGAGACCAAAACCATCTCGTCTCTTCTTGGAATTACAGAGTTTATGGGAATGCAGGATTGTGAGTCAGAGCGCCACCCAGCGGCCAACAGTGTGTAGGAGTTAATCATCATCCTGGGAGGACAAACATTTCATGGTGTTGTACGGAAAACTCACAAACACAGACTAAATAGCTGAATATTGGATTAAAGCTAAGAAGAAATGCTGAGTTCAAGTAATCTAGAACAAACTTTAAAAACAAAACCCAAACTTAGAATACAAAAGATAAAAACAAAAGACACATGAACTAAGACAGACTTTGCACAATTGCCTTCAAGAACATATATTAAGAGCATCCCACTGCAGATATGATAGAAATGCATAATCTCTGTCATATCTGACAGAGATTATTCTGTCAGATATGACAGCTGCGTCTTAGAGGGATTCATTTGTCTCATTGAGGGAAGATAAAATGTATTTCTTTCTGGTGGGAAATTAATTTTTTCACTTAGTGAATTTATAAAGAAAGCTTTTAGACTTCCTCCTTAATCGGTATAAATAAAGTATGAAGCTAAGACAGATGGTGATTTATCCACCAAATTTCTCAGTTTTACTTTTCTGTGTATTTTCAATTGAAAACAATAAAAAGCCTCTTAACGTTCAGTTTCAAATATAACAGATTATAATTTTCCACAACATTTTAACAGAATAATTTTAGAGATGATTTTAAAAAAAATCTCCATTTAAGATGAACGCCCTACTTTGAGAAAGAGTCAAACACTTTTAGTAAAAAATTATGTTTCATGAGTTAATTGGAGTCCAAAGAAGAAATTATTGTTAATGTACAACGTAACAAGATATCAGTTGATGCTTAATAGAATAAAGAAGTTTCACAGTTGATGAACATCAACAATAAGAACTGCAACATTGTTTAGATTATTTCCTCCATGTTTCAGTAGCAAGAGCTCAACAGGAAGCATCAGTTTCTACAGGTTTACTTCCTGTGCCACACAGGTATGGATGTCTGTCTGGGAGCCACACCATCACTGCAGGGGATGAAGTAGGAGCTGGTCTTCAGACACTCAGGAGTCAGCTTCAGACACACGAAGCAGAACTCCACCTGGCAGCGAGGACAGATGATGTTCTTGCAGCCCGTCCTGTCGTGCTCCACTGTTTGTCCACAGGTGGGACAGGCCCGGATGGAGGGACAGCCCTCCACATTCTGGACCTCAGGGAAGGATGTGGTCTCGCAGGTCCTGAGCAGCTCCAGGTCATGGTTTTTACAGTCGTCATTGTCACAGCGGTCAGAGCGTGGAGCCGGACCTTTCCACGGCTTCAAGCACTGCCAGCAGAACTGGACCTGTTTCTTCTGGTCTGCAACGCAAACCAAGCACTGAACGCAGAGGTTAGTCAGGTTCTTTCTTTCAACGTAGCTCTTACACCCAGGGCACTGCAAGAGGAAGACATAATGATTGAAGCAGAGCTGTTAGAGTCAAGACTGACCTGAAGTTAGAGACACTTACTTCTCTGAACTCCTGGTACTCTGCAGCAGCCAGGCGAGCGATGGTCTCTTCAAAGTATTCCATCTCTTCAACGCTCAGATCCGCCAGGCGACGCACTTCTTGATACGGCCACACGGCGCCACATGTCTCCTGGGTGTCTTCGTCTATAACAGGACACCTGAACTTGTACTGACCCTAAAACAAACGCAACATATAGCCTGGAAGATGCAGAACAACCGGTTTGGTGTTTGAACTGGGTTTAAACCCCGGTGGGTTTGTGTCGTTGTCCAGTTTTAAACTCATGTACTTTTTAAGAAATACTGAGCTAATGTCTGTTTTTAGGAAGGCAGGTCAAAAAGCCTCCAGTTTACTGAGGACTCTGATGTTTTAGTCAACATCTGAACCTTTTTGCAGCCAGTGACACCCGGTGCCTTTTTTACAAGAAGAAACACAAAGAAATGAAAATGAAAATGAAAAACATGAAACCTTCAAGAAAGGCTGACAACTATGTCTTCCTGTCTTTAAACTAAAAAATACACCAATCCCTGTTCACTGTTCACCTAAATGCATCACGGCTGCATGAAGGCTGCATCCCAGATGGACAGATAGAGAACCAAATGAAATATACAGCCTTTGAAAGCAACTCTATGTCATTAATGAATCCCACAGTTTGGACTGAGATGGAAACAAGCTAAACTAAATTTGACTTTGGAAATTTTCCCCTCTTATGTTCAATGTCTTTAGTTGTGCATTGAAACTGTTTAAATTTCAAAATAAAAGCACGTTAGAAGATATAGCAATGAAAAGAAATAAAATGTTGCTTGTAAAACATGTGTGATGTCACTGCTTACCTGGTCCAGCAGGCTGCGACACCAGCCAGTCAGAGACTGTGGAGTGACAGCGTGTCCACAGGACATTTCAGCTCGAAGACCCTCATCTTCATCATCATCATCATCACTGACTAATAGGACAGACAGTAAGTTGGACACTGTACTAGTGGACATTATACTGAAAAAAGTAAAACCTGACCACCCCTACTTTACAAATGATTGAGAAACAAATACATAAATATAACAAATACTGACATAATAGCTTTTAGTCCTTACATGGAGGGTCCAGGTCATCAGGTCTGTCCACGAAGCTCAGCGTGGCGTCGTGGGGGTCATATTTTTTCTCGTCCTGATCCAAGTTGTCCATTTCAGACCTACTTTGTTCTTCCAATTTGTCGGCTAAAAGCGTCTGCCCTCAACCAGGAAATGATCTGAGTTGGCCGCCTGTAATGACTCTCCTAGAGCAAGCTTTCACTTTCAGTTTCTTCTCCTACAAATTTAAAAGTACAGAATGTAGATTCAATCAAACTCCCTGGTTGAATGTTACATTTCTCTCATGTTAATGTAATGCAACGAAGAGCAAAGGGAATAAAATTAAAACATAATTTTTCAGAGGTTTTTGGTGAAGCAGTTCTAGAGGAAAACAAAATACACCCTGGTGTTACATACAGTTACATCCTGCAGATGTCACTAAAGGCAAAACTATTTAAATCATTTTGGCTTCCATTGTATTTAATGCAGACGTAATCAATTTATAATCAATTTACCCTCAGTAGTTATCAAAAATCAGATCAGCTTATGAAACTAATTCAATCTGAAATATGAAGCCTCTTGTTCTCGTTAACAACTGGAAGACAATCTTTCTTATTTGCTGTTCACTGAAGGATTTATCCGTCTTCATGGAATAATCTTTTTATTAAAGATCAAAGTGACTTCATTAATAAGTGACTAATGTCTTCTCAGAAATCTACAGTGTTGATCCAGGGCCAGAAAAGAAGAACATCATCAATCTTAGAAAAGCAACAGTTACTGCCCATCAACCTGTAAGTTAAACCAGTTCAAAATGTGTGATTGTCCGTCAGTCTGTAGAGAGAAAGATTATTCACAAATCAAAACACTTCCAGGGTTATGAGCCTTAGAGGCGGTGAAACAGAAAGGGCTCTCTGATGTGCAGTGCTTATGTCATCCCAGTAAAAGTCAAAGTAGTTCAACTGGACCCAGTCCCCAACTGGAGTCAAAATGAAACAGAAGGTGAGAATCTTCTCTCATATGAGGATATAAAAATGTTTACCAGTCAGAGAAGTTGCTTTAAATAACTGAGTTCAGCATTTAGTAAGTGATAAATAAACACATTGAATTACTGGAGACTATTTAATAGTGAGCACTAATAAAACAATGAAACTTATCTGTGATTATAAGAACCTTTCATCATTATGTAAATATAATAATGTTTATGTCACAAACTTTTGTGCTACATATGCCATTTTTAGATATTCTGAATAATAACTTCTGGGCCTTGCCTGCTGAAAGATTAATTTTATGCCCAACTGAACTTAATACAGACCAGACATTACAATTTAAAATTAACTTTGTTTGTTTTATAGAAGAGAAAATCAGGTCACTTACATGTTTGAAAACAAGACATTCAAGGTGATGAACATACCGAGAATAAATGGAACATTCTTAATCTTACAAATTAACTTTGTCAAGAAGTAACAACTTTTAGTTCCTGTGCCACACAGGTATGGATGTCTGTCTGGGAGCCACACCATCACTGCAGGGGATGAAGTAGGAGCTGGTCTTCAGACACTCAGGAGTCAGCTTCAGACACACGAAGCAGAACTCCACCTGGCAGCGAGGACAGATGATGTTCTTGCAGCCCGTCTTGTCGTGCTCCACCTTGTGTCCGCAGGTGGGACAGGCCCGGATGGAGGGACAGCCCTCGACATTCTGGACCGCAGCAAAGGATGTGGTCTTGCAGGTCTTGAGCAGCTCCAGGTCATGGTTGATGCAGCCGTCATTGTCACAGCGGTCAGAACGTGGAGCCGGACCTTTCCACGACTTCAAGCACTGCCAGCAGAACTGGACCTGTTTATTCTTATCTGCTGTGCAAACCAAGCACTGAACACAGAGGTTAGTCAGATCCTCTCTCTCGATGTAGGAGCTGCAGCCAGGACACTGTTGGACAGAAAAGAGTAGAAAACAAAACAAAAGGAAATAAGTTACTGCCCTGCAGAACATTGTTTCATGAATTCATCTTGAGTTAGCGTGATGCTCACTGTTTTAAAGTCACAGTACTCTGTCGCAGCCAGACGGGCGATGTTCTCTTCAAAATGCTGCATTTCTGCAGCGGTCAGGACGGCCAGGCGGCGGACCTCTTGATACGACCACAGAGCGTCACACTTGTGCAGGGTGCCGTCCTTCAGAGCTGGACACTTAAATTTATACTGGCCCTGAAATTTAGTAATATTTAGAGAACAACATCATTAACTTGGGTTATATTCTTGCTATCAAGCATCATTTACATTCACTACGCAAAGCGTAGTCCTGAAAGATGAATCTGATGAGTGAAAAGTTCACAGTCTCTGATTTTTCAATATGACACAAGTTTATAAATTAGTTTTATGTTGTACTCAGTGGCATTTGCTGAATTTAACTGGAAATCTATTTAAATCTTCAACTCAGAATAAAAGATATTTTAATGCTGGTTGTCAAGAACTTGCAAAGCAAGAAAACCTAGAAAGTGAAATGAGCTCTTTGGTCTCCTACAGAGGATCTCTGGCTAGTTAACTGCAAAACACGTTACAGTGAGAAAGATATTAAAATTAAAAAGGTTATTATTATTATGGATTATGACTAAATTGGGTTTGAACTGTGGGCATCACATTTCTGCTGCTGTTTGTTTTTACTGTTTAAAATCTTCGTCCTGTTTTGTTTGTCACCAACATTAAACCACAAACTAAATTTGATCATTAATATGAAGGTTGAAAAGAGAATTGGATTGAAGAACGGAAAATACAGCACTGCATTAAAACTGCTGGATAATTTAGTGGACATTGTAGTTGCTATGAATGTTTCTTAGCTTTATGGCATTAAATATGAGTCCCTACTCCATCTTGTATTGGTTACATTGTAATCAACGGTGGCTCATATTAACTGATTATTGTTAAAAAACAAGGAAATGCCTAATTAAATTATTTAATTAAATGGCCCAGTTTATGCCCCACTTGTCGAATTGGACTTCATGCTGGATCTTTGCAGTCTTCTCTTTAAATGTGCTGGTGAGAAAACAAAAGTTAACTGTTGGAAAGTACCTGATCCAGCAGGCTGCGGCACCACCCAGTGAGGGACTGCGGGGTGACGGCGTGACCGCAGGACATTTCCGCCCGGAGGCACAGATCTCCCTCATCCGGGGCTAGAAGAGAACAGACTCAAATCATAACAATAATAATAATAATAAACATGTCATCTTGTGTTTTTAGCTGATGACATATGTCCTCATGCACCCATTGAGTTGAATATAAGTGTCTCCAAAACCAAAACGCTTCACTTCAACACAGTAACATTTCGCAGGTTCTTACGCATCGGGTCCAGAGCATCTGGTCTGTTGACGAACTTCAGCGTCGTGTCTCTTCGGTCGTATCTTTTCTCTTCGTGGCCCTGAGTGGTCATTTTGTTTCCGAACCAACTTCTCTCTGTCTGCAGGCAAAAGGTGCGTTAAAGGAGCTGCTGCTGCGTCACTGTCAGAGCCAACAGCTGCTGTTACTTTCAGTTTCCTTGCCTTTTTTCTTTGTGCGCTTAATTTGGCGATGATGAAGACGAACCAGTGACGATGAAGAAGAAGGACACACAAGAAAGTTAAAACCTCATCTTGGCGGAATTCATTTTATATTGTCACTTTAAACATGGCTGAGTTTAATTCACTGTCTGCACTGATTTTAGGTTAAAGTGACCCTTCAGATAACTGAACTGTCTCCTGCTTTTTTCCCCTACCATAGTCGAAAGCAGCACGAATAATACATACATATTACTATGCAGTTTTTATTCACAGTTTGAGAAACAACCATGTAAAGAGTTTGCAAATAACCACACAGCCGCATCACGTGATCTCTGCTGGAAAACAAGGCGATTTCCTGCAATTAATCGTCCATATACAGCCTTCGACAACACGATGTATTGTGTTCTATGTACACGATTCATGGTGTCCATAAAACCATTAGTATATGAGTATAACATTTTCTGCAGTCTTTTGTTGCCACTGCTCAGATGTGCGTGCTTTATTTATTTATCTCAATTAAATTATTGTTGAATCAATAAAATAAAGCAATAAAATATATATGGGGGATAAAACAGTGCAGCACTGTGTTGAATATGCTTCTCAAAATATACCATCTGAAAACAGTCAGCAGCTCACGTGGAAGAAGATAATAATGAACAATAATAACAGCAAGAGCCCTAAACAGAAAATAGAAAGTAAAGACTGCTCTGACGTCAGATCCTGTTGCTGTTCGCCCGCATTTCTGTCAGCTGTTGGGACGGAGCACCAGCGCCAGAAAGGAGCGCAGCGCAGATTGCGGGAAGATGGGGAAAATCTACCAGGTCGTGGTTCATGGGCTGAGAGGAGAGAAGCTGATGATCGATCTCTGCAACACCGAGGAGCAGATGAAGAGCATGACGGTGGGGCAGCTGAAGGGAAAGATCGCAGAGAAACTTCCTCAGACTGCAGGTAAACGAGGAAAAGCTCTAAAGGCAACTTGACTGGTGAACTGTTCAATATGTCTGGTCTGTCTGTCAGCCAGCAGGACGTAAAGCTACTGCTTTCCAGCTTTATCAGCTTTATTGGTCGACAGGTTTTGGGTTAAGTGGCCATGGAAACAGTTCAAGGCTTGTTTTTCTTAGAATAAAGCAGATTGTTAAAGGAGAATGTTTTACCTAATTCAGAGGCGCCTGACTCTTCAACAACAAACATGCTTTTTGAAACCAAACTTTGCCTGGAAATCAAAATTGAAAGTAAATTTCATGGTGACTCATGTTTTCCCTGTTGGCTTATCAGTGCTGTGGTGGTTAAGCTCAGTATTAACTATATAATTAATACTTGGGTTTCTGGTTTGTTTCAAGGAAATAAATAAAACAAATAAGCCAAATGAGATGTGTTTAAGGTGCATCAGAAACTTGGTACTTTTGAGAATGAAGATCCAGATTAATCATGGTTAAATATTAAACTTTTTGATAAGTTTAATATCTGTTCTGACAACAATACAAAGGTTTAAAGAACTTGCTATCTAATCTTCTTTATGACCTTTTAAATTAGCTTCTGATTTGAGTTTGGAAATAATTTTGTTTCCTCTGCATATTTTTTTTACTTTCACTTCTTACCATTGTTCAAACAAACAACTCTCCAAAAAATGTAGGGATTCATCTGGATTATAGAAAATGTAATATTTGTAAAAATCTATTTTATATCTGTTTTCTTGTTTGTGTTTCTGCAGGAGAGGAGAACCTGCGGCTGATCTTCACGGACAAGCACCTGGAAGGAGACGCCACGCTGCTGTCGGAGTACGGGATCCAGCACATGTCCGTGGTCCAGCTGGTGCTGAAGGTTCCTGGAGGATAGATGGCGTAACTGGGACCGTTTGGATCTTCTTCTTATACTGCCGTTGCTGCTGCCACCGCCTGCAGGGAATTCTGTTCACTCCTGACTCTTGTTTACAAATATGAAAGCCATAATCATTGACAAAAAAAAAAGGAAAAAGAAAAATTATTGATAATGTTTTTGTGTATTCACTTGTAATAAGCTTCAGATGTTCAAATGTTTTCAACTGTTGCATTAAATAAACACATTTTTGTCATTTGATATCGCTTTTCTTGTGCTGTACACCAAACATAAGCATAGCTCAGAAAAGATAACAGACTTGAGCAAGAGGATCCAAATTTAGCTTTCAGTTTTATGCTACAACATTCTGACGTTCACCGTTGAATCCAAATCCCATCAGGTGCTTTTTGAGCTCCAGCAATCTGTTGAAACAGTTCAGCAAACTGTGGTAAAGTGTTTTAATGATTTTGAATCAGTGTTCAGAGATAAAAATAAGTAAATAAATAAAAACGAACAAACAAAACACAGATTTTCTTTGACAAAACTACATGTTTCAGAGATAAAGCGTAGTTTGTGGGTGTTCTTAACTAAAACCAAATTTTCCTCTTGATGCAGAAAAAAGTCAGGTAATTCACAGAGTACCACTGAAAATCATCAGAAAATCTGACCTATGACTTATGTTGCATCTTAACATTAGATCAAATCACTGTGATATCCTCATGTTCAAAACTTTCATGCATTAAAAAACCTATGCATCGCACATCCCCCAGAAAAGTACAGGAAGTTACAATATTTTAAATATGGGAGGAGAATAAACTTGTGTCTTTAAGGGAGTTTAATACAGAGACAGTATTAACTCAAAAGGTCAAGAGGTGATGTTATAAACGAAATACCATTATATTCCCCTCGATGTTTTGTCTTAAGCTAAAATTAAACTTGCTGTCATTTCCACGTCTTCCATGCAGTAAATGTTCATTTCGGCTGAATCACAATCTGCGTGTCAGAGTTTTAACATGAAATCAAAAAGTCTCGACTGTTTAGTTCTCTTCTTCTTCTTCTTCTTCTTCTTCTTTTTTTGAGGATTTTTGCAACATGTCCGACCGTCCCTGAATGCAACATCGCTTCTGGCGTCAACAGAAGAGAAACAGAAAGTATCAGGAGAGTTTCAATTACACATTAACATGTAAGAAATGTCGGACAGCGTCTGAGAGAAGTTGGGGTTTTTGTATCGAGTGGATGTCAACAAAAAGTGTCAATCTCAGGGTGAGTTTGTTGTTTTCTTTTGCGTTTGAGTTTTTGCTGTCCTCACATTAGAAATACATTTGATTCCTCGATTTTGTTGCAGCCTCCACAGCCGATGGGCTGATCACCAGCGGGAAGAAAAAAAATGAATCGCTGGTGGAATAAACCTGCAGGTAAAACCTGAATAATATCCTCAGTAACTAAGACAAGAGAAGTAGCCCAGCTATAAACAAACAAGAGTGGAATTAATTCACAAATATATTACTCAGGTAAAAGTAAAATACAAACAAAAATTTATAAGTGTGCGAGGAGATTTTGATTATTAAGTGTCTGAAGACAAGATCCAATTTATTGGCTTGCAGTGATGTGATTAAGCATAAATCTCAGAACACTTTGCCACTAAATAAACACATCTACAAATTCATTCAGTACAAACTACCTCAAATGGTGAGACTTTCTGTATAAATTACCTTTTGAAAATTCAGATGCATAGATGGATAGAGCAACCAGAAATTGTACTTACGTAATAGAACTGTAACTGAAGAACTTAAATGCTGTTACTTAAGAAAAAAGCAAAAAAAAGAAAAAAACATTATGCAATTAAACATTTTCTCTACCAAAACCTCACCATAGTAAATGTAACTCATTACTATCCATGTCATATGAAATATTTGACGTTGTGTAGCTCATAACCCTTTAACTTTATTTTGTCACATTACTACTTCTGGGTATTTTGTTGGGAGTTTTGGGAGATGCGACAGACGAGCACAATGCAGTGAGCAAATGTTAGGTGAAAGGGAAATAATAATTGTCTTTCTAATGTTTGTGCAAATAAAACCGTGCCATGCATTTGGAATCACAAGTAAGCCAACTTGTTACTGGAGTTAGACAAGTATCATTGCCATTTTCCTACCAACTTTGCGGATCTTTGGTCAGATTTTTCCATTCCAAAGCAGCTCTTTGTCAGTCAGACTGAATAGAGATGCTTAATGCTTGCAACAATTGTATGGCAACCTCGCTTCTGTCAGTCTGCCTGTGGCAGCTGTGGCTGCATTATACCTCACCACCATCAATCAGCTTCTGAATGTGTGAATGACTGAAAGTAGTGTGAAGCACCTTGGAGTGACCCGCCGATTACAGAACAAAATCCTATTGCCGTTGCCACCATCACCAGAAGATGTGGCATCGACTCGAGCTCCTGAGTCAATGCCGCCCCAATCTGGTTCTCACACAACAACTGGATTTATACTGAGATTAAATTGATATGAAACTATTTATAAACTGGGTGACTTCTCAAGGCAGATGGTGGCACTGGATTTTATTTCTGGGTTTAAGAGTAAATATATATGCAGAATATTTTTTTTAGATTTGTAATTGTAAAATAATGATAATAATGATAATAATCAAACTGCACTTCATTTTATTCACAATGTCAAAACTGCTCTTTTGTAAAGCTGAACGTTAGCTCGTTCTTAAGTAAAGACAGGTGAGCAGAACATCGGTGTGGTATTTCTGGATAACAAGCAGTCAGTCTTTTTCATCAAAGAGTTGCTTCAATTAAAAATCATGACTTGCTATGTTATTGCTGTTTTATTAATATTTTATGTAACAGAAGATCTTTCACTAATTTCTGACACTCAGTTCTGAAATTTTATTGACATTTTCAATCTAATTCCTCCAGATGTTAAGTACCACGGTTTGGTCAACCATGGAGCAACATGCTACCTGAACAGTGTGCTGCAGGTTCTGTTCATGACAGAAGAATTCAGAGAAGCTGTGATCAGGTTTGTTTTTAGTTTGTATCTGAAGGGGAAATTTCTGAATCCACCTATTTGATATTAATTTGTATTTTGTTTTTAGACTTACCAGTCCCAGTCAGGAATACATTGATCATCATCTTAAAGGATTGTTTGAAGAATTACTGCAATGGAAAGCAGATCCATATCATATATTGAGAGCTTTAGGAGTCAAATATGGTACAGTTTGATATTAATCAGGATGATCCGTTTTTATGTTTCAGTAAAGATGCAACATTTTGTAGAAAATAAATTGATGAAACATGACAAGATATTTTATAAAGAATAATTATGGATACAAAAGCACAACTGTTATATGATTTGCTGCGTCTTTAACTAAAGTTCCTCAAAAACATTTCGAATGTCTTGACTTCTTCTAGTGTATGAACAGCAAGATGCAGCAGAATATTTTGAGAGGATCTTAAGGAAGACCAGTGAAGATGCAGCACAGGTACATTTACCAGTTGGAAAGAATAACTTGCATAAGGTATGAAAGGAAACATATAATCATGCTCATATATCCATTAATGCATGGTATGTTTGTATGTGTTAAAGATCTTTCATGGACGGCTGAGTCACAGGACGACTTGTTCAAAATGTCAGACAGTGACTGACAGTATAGGTCCGTTCTGGCATCTTCCTCTTGAACTGGAAGATTCACCTGGTGGAAACTACAGTGTGGTGAGAATCTGACAAGTTAATGTTTTACTGTCACAAAGGGTTAAAGTTCAACAAAACTGACACTTTTTCCCACAGTAGAACAACATAAAATATAGCATGTTTAATTTTGAAAAATAAATCAGGAAAGAGGTGTAATTTAGTCAGATTTAAACTCTGGAATATGGCTTTGAAATCCATGCTGGTCATACAGAACTAAAGGAACTGACCATCGATGGTTAGCAAATGGGTTTAACTGCACTGCAGCACATTGCAGTAACGTGTTGCAATGTTTCCTTATCACAAAGTTTATTATAGAACAGGGCGTTACGTTTACACTTCCGTATTGCCTGAAAAACTGAACAAAGAATAGCAGTAAATACTCCACTTTACCATCCAAATACTGGGAACCCATAGAGATGGTTTTAATGGTTTTTAAGAGAGAGCTTTCATTTTCCCTATTTAACTTACAAATAGAAGTTCAAATTAAACTTTCTTAATCTAGCCTGGCAAACTGGTCTCTTATGTAACTTTTTAACATTTTGAGACTTTAAGTGACAGACCTATAAAAACAGAGCATAACTCTGTCATGAAAAGAAAATGTTTTTCACAGGTTTGCATGCAGACTTGTTTCTTTTGAAATTGTTGTTGTACTTGAACCAGTTTAATGAACAAGTGGTTTCTGCTTTTGAGAGAAAGTTGATGAATTTGTGTATCTTAAGAAATTAAACTGAGAGCAAAAAGAACTTTAAAAATATTTTGTGTTGAATGCAAGAGTTTGACGGTTTTGGGTAGCTTACTTTCTCTTCATGATCCTATTTGTTCACTAATGCTCTGTAACATTAGAGCATTAATGTTACAGAGCATTAATGATTTGTGTCAAGCACTAAGCCTAAACAAAGACACTATATGTCTTGGCTGGAGGTTTGAGCATCTCTAACAACATCTCCAGAATTAGAGAATTAATGTCTCAGCAAGATCTAGAGAAACTCATCCATGCGTTTATCTTTAGTCGCCTCCATTACCGTAACAGCGTCTTCACAGGTCTGTCCAACAAATCAATCAAACAGCTGCAGCTGATCCAGAAGCTGCTGCTCGCGTTCTCACTAAAACCAGGAAGATAGAGACATAACACCAGTTTTAAAGTCCCTCCACTGGATCCCTGTAGCTCAAAGAATTAACTTTAAAATACTATTAGCTTATAAATCACTGAACGGCTCAGCACCACAATATATTAAAGATCTGCTTTATCTGGAAAACTGGAAAACACCTAAAATACTGACTTCCTTTAAATCTCGACTGAACCCCGCCTGTTTAGAGTTGTATTTGAAACTTAATCAATTACGAATTTAATGATGGCGCATGACTTTTTGTTGTTGATTCTATGTTGCATGACTTTGTGTTTTTGTGTTTGTGATGATGTAAAGCACTTGCTGCTGAAATGTGCCATACAAATAAAATTTGATTTGAAATTAGTTTCACATTTAGATATAAACATACTTTCTGTTCTGTGGGTAAAACTCTAGACTACATGTACATTTTACATGAAGGCTTATGTTTTTAACAGAGGTATTAATTACTACCATATGTGATAAACGCTTGTCTCAACATATAACTTGGTAAAATCAGATCAAAGCTTTTTTTTAACTGTCAAGTGTTTCTTGTTGAGAGTTTTGTTAAAGACATAAATTCAGTTTCATCTTCTTAGGAAAATGGCATCAAGATGTTTTTCACACCAACGATATTCGATGGCGATAACAAGGTGTACTGTGAAATCTGTGACGCTAAAGTTGATGCTACCAGAGTGAGTGAATATTAGAAATGATCAGATTACACAATACATGGTGAAGTAATGAAAACACAACAATATTTTAGGAATATTCTTAATAACTATGAACATCTGTTTTGTCCTTCAGAAATATGTAATAACTCATCATCCAGATGTTCTGCTTCTGATGCTGAAGAGGTTTGACTTCAGCTATCAGTTCATGTCTTACATCAAAATCCACTGTAATGCTGATGTTCCTCACACCATTAGGATACCAGAGGTAAACATATCCAATGTATTTTATTTAGTACAAGTCATAATGAGGAATAGTTGTTTTGTTTTTCTTTATTCTGATTAATATTCTTACTTGTTGATCAGAATCAGACATATGAGCTTTATGCAGTTGTGGAGCATTTTGGTGATTTAAGAGGAGGACATTATCAGGCAGTGATTAAGTGCAAGGATGAAGGAGACGAATGGTTCATCTTTAATGACGGATCAGTCACACAGGTAAAACTAATTAAAGCTTTTTTGTTTTATCAAAGAACTTTGTTCAACATTCAAGTTGTTAAAAATGCATTAAAAGAAAAATAAAAGTCATTTAAATCCTTTGCTTTTCCTTCTATCAGCTAGGCATAAATCCTTTTCCTGATGATGTGAACGTTGCACCGTGAGTGTTGAAGAGAGATGAAAGTTGTTTTTATTATCCTGCACAGAAGATCCCATCACAGATTTTCAACTTTTCATTTCTTGGCTTTAAAAACCCATTTGATGGAATGAATTAAAAATCACCTGAGATCAAACATCAAAAATGTTCAGAGGCATTTCTGAAAAAATCTCTAATACACTCAGTTATCTGAATATGTTTTTTCTTTGGCACATTTCAGATTTGCTTCATTTCCTGATTAGAGATGAAATAAGACATTAGGAAGGACTAGGGATAAACATCACTCTCAGTGCACTGTGCAAAGAAAGACATAAGCTGCTATAATTTCCATTCTAAAGCCACCAGGCAGCTGTCTTATCTCTCCATGATGTTCTCTTAGCGCACCATACTTAATGTTTGAGGTTGAAGCAGCAGCTCAAAACGTTGAGCAATGATGCACTAATTATGCGTATGGTGTCCTAATTTGTTCCTTACATGAAATTACCTTTTCATTTACTGTGGTTTAATGTGTTGTTGCCCGGGTTGCTTTAAAACACAGTAAAACATTTGATCCAAAAGAAAACAAAATACTACTCCACCACACTGCGCTGCAAACACTGAGTTATGTTTGTTTATGAGGAAACTGTCAAAACCTTTAGTGGGTTTATTAGTAGGGTTGGGGGTGGATTGTTGCAATTTGTTGGTTTAGTTAATTGGTTGAATAAAACAGTTTTCTTTCTTTCATTCCCTCTTCTAGGTCTGTAAGCGCCTATCTTCTATTTTACAGAAAGAAAGGTGAGAATCAACATATTGAATGAAATTGTTCCACTTTTCAAAAAGTTTATTGGATTAATTCACAGAATGTCTCAATTTAAAATGTTTTAAATTGTTATAGTTGCAGATTGTGTCATCAGTGAACCGTGTTCAGTCAGAGATTACAACCAAAGCGTAATTCAGGACCAAAGTCCAAAGGAGGAGAATCTGCAGCCAGGTGAAGAAACAGAAACACTTAATGGGAATATTTCTGATGAGAAGATAAAAGTTGATCACATGTCCTTTGAAGCTAAACCTGAAAAGAGCGGAATAATTGAGTCAGAAGAGATTGATGCAGATGAACAGAGATTACCTGAAGAACAACCAGCCAGAGAGAGACAGACTGAAGAATTGAGTCAGGATGAGACAAAATATCCTCAAGACATAATAATGGAGAATCCAGAGGAGCAGGAGAAAAACAGAAATCATCTCACTGCAGAAGATCAAATTCAGGGAGAAACAGAACCAACAAATTTTGGAAATATGCAGCCAGACATAAATTATGATCATAATATAAACAGTGCTGAACCTGCAGCGTTTCACAAAAACCTCTTGGAACAGCAGGAATCAGCAGAGGACAGAATAGATGAAGAGAGGAGGAAACATGAGGCGGAAAACAGCAACAAACTGATCACAAAATCAGAGGAAACAGGGGCTGATGATGAGGCTGAAAATATGAGATATAATCGTAATGAAGCAGAAAGAGCTGCACTTAATAAACTAGAAGAAATGAAGCAGATTGGTGAGGCAGTCAGTCATTTGAAAGAAAGCTTTTCTTCACAGGATCCTCAGAGTAAAGGATTCAGTAAAATACCACAAAGTTTAACTTCAGATGAGCCAAATATTGATGATAAACACCAAAGGAGAAAAGAAATGACAGTCGATGCTGCTAAAACACAAGAAACAGAGAATGTTGACAAAACTTATGTTCATGAAGACAAGCCAAAGGTAGATGATGGTGGAAAAAGCGAACAAAAGAGTCAGATAAGAGGAAAGAGAAATAGATCAGATCAAGGAAAGAAAGAGAATCAAGATAACACTGACAGGACAGTGGGAGCGTATTCTGACAGTCCTCAGGAAAGCACAGTAGATATGCAGAAGGAAAACACTGAACAAAAATCCATTCTTGTCATGATACACAAAATGAACGTAATTTGAAGAAAACCAGAAGAAATGAAAATTATAAGATAGCAGCAACACTGACAGGAAACCAGGAGGCTAAAAGAGATGAAGAAACAAGACAAGAAAACTTTCAGAGTTACAGAAATAAAAGGTCAAAGGGCGCTGAGGTCGAGAGACAAGGTTCAAATCAGGCTGCAGTTGAGTGCAAAACCATAGAAGTAGATATTAGGGAGTTTTCTCCTGGTGGTAAAGGTAAAACTAAATGATAAAAACAATTACTGAGGAAATCACAACTGTTAACAACAGCAGCAATAGAAAATCAATAAGCGATGAAGGAAAAGTTGACTGTGACTTGGAGGATGGTGTATTTCTTTCTGAACCTCTTTTACACCAACAACAAAATCCCACATCGAAGGAAATCACCAGAGGAGCAAAAGAAGACGAATACAGGGAGAACTTTCCCTCTGAGACTGATCTGGAAGCACAACAAAAAAGGAATGATATGAAGAAGAAATGTTCATGTAGGTGCACCTGTGCAATTCTGTGAGCAGAAAGGAAGGAAGCAACAAAAAAAAGTGACACTTCTTTGTTTTTTTTATTTCTAGGACATGAACAATGCAGATCAGGAATCAAATGAAAATGACAATAACAGTCATTGTTTGCTGCTCCTTAAGTTTTCCTGAAGGCCTTTATAAGCCTCACGAAGAAATACGGTGAAAGGCTGTTGTTGTTTGTTTTTTTTTACCAAATAGCAAAAATTGTTTTTCATAGCTTGAAAATAATATCAGCTAAATTTAATGTTTTTCATAAATTCTTTTTTTTTTCTTTATCTGTCAATGTTTTGACCTTTTCCATTTTAACTTTTATTTCCAGCATTGTGTTCTGCAATAAATTGTGTAAAAAATGTAACAGATTAGTTTCCTTTTTTTATTAAATGCCCATATTGTTTTTTACAAAACAGCTACATGAGATTATTCAAAACAATAGAAAACACAGCAAGTACAACCTATTGTTCTGATTAGCCCTGTCATTTGAACAGCTGTGGACATTTAACATGTGATGCAACACCTGCAATAATTTAAAAATTGATACAGAATGTTTGATCTTAATTTATATTTTTTTCCAGTGTTGGACAAAGTACTCAGTTATAGTTCTTGAGTAAAAGTATTGGTACTTGTGGTCAAATATTATGCAACTACAAATAAAAGTCGCTCATTCAAAAGTTTATTCAAGTCAAAGTACTAAATATCTTACTTTTGAAAATACATAAGTAGTCATAAGAACACATATTTAAAAAGAAATACTCAAGAATTCAAAAGTACAAATTATATTTTAATATCTCTATGTTGCTGTTTTGTTTTTGCTGAAACCACCTTATGATGTAGTGACATGTTGAACCACTGCTACCAAAAGTAGCAGAGTGGTTCAATAGCTGACAATAAAATAAAATGTCAGCTATTTTATTTTATTTTTTAAAGAATTAATACATACTCCCCATATAAAACCAGCTGCAGTGAACGACAAAGCTATCTGTCAAGAGGAGTGACAACCTTTCTGAAATGTGGTGGTGTCAAAAGACTAAAAAAAAAAGACTATAAAATAAAAGCTGAATTCTTCTTAATTTCCATTCAATTTAGTCCAAAATGTGGCTTTTACTTCCCTTTCATATTGAGAAAGTTTGTCAAACTGTTCATAGAGCGAAACATTATCTGCGTATCAAAGTTTTAACACGATTTCAACGAGCGGGTCTACAATTATTTATTCTTTTTAAAATGCAAAATTCCCGACCGCACGTGAATGCAACATGATCGCAGCAAAACACCAAACGAGAAGAGAAACAGAAAGTGTTCAGAAAAACAAAGTATAACAAAGATTGAGCGTCTAAAATCAGTTGGAGTTTTTGCTCAAAGTGTGAATATTAAGGTACGTTCATTATTACATTATATTGATTATTTTCTTCCATCTAGAAATTAGAATAGCTCTACACACATTGATTTTGTTGCAGCCGAGCTGATCGCCAGGAGGGAGACAAAATGAATCGCTGGTGGAATAAACCTGCAGGTAAAACCTCCTTTATGTTCTGAGTAATAATTATGGCAAGAGAAGATCAGTGCTGTAATCAAACAGGAGTGGCGTTACTTCACCAATGTGATACTCAATTAGAAGTAAAAAACGTCAACAAAAAATGTCCAAATAAAAACAAATCAGTATTAAGTAAATGTGAAAGGAGATTTTAAGCACCAAGTGTTTGAATGTAATGTCCGATTTATTTCTTTGAGATTATGTAACTTGACGTGATGTGAAATACTGTTCAATCTGTGTTGTTTCAAATAATATAAGTTTTAAAAAATGACACAAAAAAGAAGTTTTACAAACAGAAAAAGCGAAGGCAAAAAATAAGAAAAAAATCAAACAATAATTGTCTTATTTCTCCACAAAATAAAACATATACACCAGTACAAACAATGCAGATTGCATTGAGTGGTGGCATTTCCCTCCTAAAATTCCTGCAACTTATACATCAGGCTTTTGGCTGCTTCTCTGATGCTCTGCTTGTCTGACCCATCAGGTTTCATTAGTGTTGCAGCTTTTCCATACTCTTTCAATTTCTAGATCAGGAATTCAACTGGACTCATTGGATGTTGTATTATCTGACAACTTTCTATACATATTCTTAAAACACATGATCATTTGTCTACCAATAGGGCAGCACTATTATTTCTGCTATTTGACTCAAATACTTTACATATATTCATCAGATTAAATCAACTTTTTCATTTGTATGGTTTGAAACACAGAATTTGTGACCACATCGATATCAAAGAGAAATCATGTCTCTTTTGGGTTTGGTTGAAGTTTATATGTAAGCAGAGAGGTGCAGGTGTTGAATAATGGAAAATGAGGATTAAACATCCTGTTTGTGTAGAGCTGAGACACAAAACAGGAACCTGGTAAAATGGAAGCATGATGAGACTAAAATGAGAAACCACTGAGGAACGAGAGAAGAATCACAATCTGAAGTTTGGCAGACTCCTGTAATTGTTTGGACATGATCTCTAAAAACAACAAGAGTTGAGGTGGAAAACACAGCAGGATGATAACGACACATCACTCTCTCACTCCTGTCCACGTTTTCCTACTCAGCATTATTTCTGCTTTTGTTGACAGTGATCAGAGCAGCTGACTCGGTTGTGGCTATGAGAGAGAAATGGGAAGAATCATCTCAAGTATTTTACTGTTGTAGACAAAAATGCAGTAAAGTTTGACTTTATATGCAGTTATTCATGACTGAAGCAACTAATGGGAAGAAGTTCAAAGGGAGTTTCAGAGCGTTTGTGATAAGAGCACCAAGTGGTCAGCACAGGTTCCTGTAACCCAACATTTCACGCTACAGACAACCTTTGAGTAATTTCTGACAGTCAGTTCTGAAATTTTATTGACATTTTCAATCTAATTCCTCCAGATGTTAAGTACCACGGTTTGGTCAACCATGGAGCAACGGACTACCTGAACAGTGTGCTGCAGGTTCTGTTCATGACAGAAGAATTCAGAGAAGCTGTGATCAGGTTTGTTTTTAGTTTGTATCTGAAGGGGAAATTTCTGAAATCCACCTGAGTATTTGATATTAATTTGTATTTTGTTTTTAGACTTACCAGTCCCAGTCAGGAATACATTGATCATCATCTTAAAGGATTGTTTGAAGAATTACTGCAACGGACAGCAGATCCATATCATATATTGAGAGCTGTAGGAGTCAACAATGGTACAGTTTGATATTAATCAGGATGATCCGTTTTTATGTTTCAGTAAAGATGCAACATTTTGTAGAAAATAAATTGAAGATATTTTATAAAGAATAATTATGGATACAAAAGCACAACTGTTACACAATTTGCTGCGTCTTTAACTAAAGTTCCTCAAAAACATTTCGAATGTCTTGACTTCTTCTAGTGTATGAACAGCAAGATGCAGCAGAATACTTTGAGAGGATCTTAAGGAAGACCAGTGAAGATGCAGCACAGGTACATTTACCAGTTGGAAAGAATAACTTGCATAAGGTATGAAAGGAAACATAATCATGCTCATATATCCATTAATGCATGGTATGTTTGTATGTGTTTCAGATCTTTCATGGACAGCTGAGTCACAGGACGACTTGTTTAAAATGTCAGACAGTGACTGACAGTATAGGACCGTTCTGGCATCTTCCTCTTGAACTGGAAGATTCACCTGGTGGAAACTACAGTGTGGTGAGGATGAGTTTCTGTAGATCGTTTTGGCTTTTAACAGTTTAATGAATACTCCCACCTTGGTCTGCATCTGAGTAAAAGTCCCTGTGATATATCCAACGTTTTCAATGTAGAAAGATTTCCAGCTTCATTTCAATGGAAACTTTGTCCTAAGATTCTGACAGTTATTAATTATTGTAATATGCAATATTTGCTTGTCTGAGAATATAACTTGATAAAGTCAAATTTTGTAATGTTAAGGGTTACAGTTTGTTTTCCCAGTATCAATCCATTTTCTTTTTTTTAGGAAAATGGCATCAAGATGTTTTTCACACCAACGATATTCGATGGCGATAACAAGGTGTACTGTGAAATCTGTGACGCTAAAGTTGATGCTACCAGAGTGAGTGAATATTAGAAATGATCAGATTACACAATACATGGTGAAGTAATGAAAACACAGAAATATTTTAACAATATTTTTAATGACTATATATACATATATATACCTGTTTTGTCCTTCAGAAATATGTAATAACTCATCATCCAGATGTTCTGCTTCTGATGCTGAAGAGGTTTGACTTCAGCTATCAGTTCATGTCTTACATCAAAATCCACTGTAATGCTGATGTTCCTCACACCATTAGGATACAGAGGTAAACATATCCAATGTATTTTATTTAGTACAAGTCATAATGAGGAATAGTTGTTTTGTTTTTCTTTATTCTGATTAATATTCTTACTTGTTGATCAGAATCAGACATATGAGCTTTATGCAGTTGTGGAGCATTTTGGTGATTTAAGAGGAGGACATTATCAGGCAGTGATTAAGTGCAAGGATGAAGGAGACGAATGGTTCATCTTTAATGACGGATCAGTCACACAGGTAAAACTAATTAAAGCTTTTTTGTTTTATCAAAGAACTTTGTTCAACATTCAAGTTGTTAAAAATGCATTAAAAGAAAAATAAAAGTCATTTAAATCCTTTGCTTTTTCCTTCTATCAGCTTGGCATAAATCCTTTTCCTGATGATGTGAACGTTGCACCGTGAGTGTTGAAGAGAGATGATTGTTATTATCCAATCACAGATTTTCAACTTTTCATTTCTTGGCTTTAAAAACCCATTTGATGGAATGAATTAAAAATCACCTGAGATCAAACATCAAAAATGTTCAGAGGCATTTCTGAAAAAATCTCTAATACACTCAGTTATCTGAATATGTTTTTTTCTTTGGCACATTTCAGATTTGCTTCATTTCCTGTTTAGAGATGAAATAAGACATTGGGAAGGACTAGGATAAACATCACTCTCAGTGCACTGTGCAAAGAAAGACATAAGCTGCTATAATTTCCATTCTAAAGCCACCAGGCAGCTGTCTTATCTCTCCATGATGTTCTCTTAGCGCACCACTTAATGTTTGAGGTTGAAGCAGCACCTCAAAACGTTGAGCAATGATGCACTAATTATGCGTATGGTGTCCTAATTTGTTCCTTACATGAAATTACCTTTTCATTTACTGTGGTTTAATGTGTTGTTGCCCGGGTTGCTTTAAAACACAGTAAAACATTTGATCCAAAAGAAACAAAATACTACTCCACCACACTGCGCTGCAAACACTGAGTTATGTTTGTTTATGA